CCGTTTGCCACCTTACCACTGCGATTTAAATCCCATCAAAAAAATTTGGGCAGTGGTAAAAATGCACATTGCAGTGAAAAATATCACTCAAGCCCCTAGTGAAATAGCTGCGAGGCGGCGTTTAGAACAGTAACGACAGAAGAATGGCTCAATGTATGTCTACATGTAGAAAAAATAGAAGATAAATATTTCGAATCAGGTAGGCTGATGGAGATGGAAATGTATAAATTTGTAATTAATGTTACAAGCGACACATCCGAGTCTTCTGATGAAGACTCTAGAATGGATTCTGATGAAGATGTGCGAATGGAAGGCGTTGACCCACTGCAGGATTATTTTCCCACCATAATTTACTTTTTATTTCGTTCTTTATAATAAATATTATAATGCTATTTCAGTTCTATTTCAAAATACTTTTAATGAACACTGATTTTTTGTCTATAATGAACTTTTCAAAAATCTCAGTAATAGTCATTCCTGTTTGTTTATGTGTGTAACATATAATATGTACCTGTAATTATGTAAAATAATTGGAAGTTAAATTTGACTAACTTCTAAGTTTTCGATAGAGCTGAACTTTTGCATATACATGCATTAGATGACAATGCACGGTTACACAAGTGACGTCATTCTAAATCCAATACGGCGGTCTCCCAAAGACGGAGGACCAGTTATTTTTTATGCATTCCCATGATCCTACTTTACATGGCAACCATGACAGGCGGTTCGCAGCGACAATAAGTAATAACAGATACTCGACTCCAATGAGTCAGTAACTCCTTCATGGGTATACGCTTTACAACAAAGTCCCAGAAAATATGCGGGTCATTCTACGAACCTGAGAAACTTATGTTAGCGTAATGTAACTTCATGAATACGACATCCTGATTCGTTATTTCCTGTGATATAAAATGGGACATCACCATCTATATTTGACATTCATTATTTTGTAGATAAGTGATGATTTAATGAAGAAAAATATGTCGACAATACGTGACGTGTCATGGTCTGTTGACTGTTCGCCGACACCCTGTGAAGGTTTAACGGCTATTTCAAAAAAATCTTAAGCTACTAGCTAAAGTTATAAATTTTGAAACGATACCTATCCATAACATATAAATTAAAAGACTTTTAAAAATTATGTCACCCAATTATAAAAAATATTGATGTTTCTACAAGCGTTATAAATTTTTTGTCACAACTGTCAACATGTAAAGTTTTGAATACTAGAATCAGAAAGCTTATTACTTCAACGTTGTTTTGCTTTTTATGGCAATATTAGTGCATACCTGTCAGTTAACAATAGCGAGCTGCTGAAAATTTTGAATCGAAAAGAGGTTCTACAAGCACAGACTAACTAGTAGATTCTACCAGAATCAGACGGACATCTCACGAACTAAACTTACTCGACTTAACTTCTGCATCCTGATTGGCTGTAGCAAAATGATATCTGACATTTCTTTTTTTTATTTGAAGCAGCTATACCAAGCAAAGGACGTCCCAAATAATAGCCACTTGCAAAATTAATTTTATTATATTGAAAATAAAACGAAATAAATACAAATGAAACAATGTTGAAATTTAATATTTTTAAATTAGTTATTAATTTTTACTTTACAAAAATTTTGTATACAAATTTAATAATTAACTTATTAATATATACATTATTAAAAACTTATACTAGTAACTTAATTATCATAGTCCTCATTTTAACTTTACAATAATTTTGTTTACAAATTTAGAACCAGACCTGTTTTTTGATGCCATTTTAGCTTATTAAAACTATAAGTTAAAAAAAAACTAAAACTAGTAGCTCAATTATCATACAAGTCTATACTACCCACGGTATCGCGCCAAGAACGCTGGCTGCGTTTCTCCGCTGAATGGCTATACTTAGCCTTTGAGCGAGAAAAGAACTAACCCTGTATTTAGAATTAATGGATAAATATCAATATAAGATTCACCGGTTTCACCACTTTCGTTACTCACTTACCTTTCATGTCCTTTAAACAGGCTCTTTATTATTAATATTTTTTTTTATTTTATTTTATTCGTATGGTTTACTAACAGTCAACTTACAGAATACAATCTTAAATAACAGAAAGGTTTCTTAAGCTAAGTGTAATCACTACTTACTAGTAAACACAGCATGCAATATAACAATAACTTAATCGGGTTTCGATTTTACTAAATAAAGTTAACAATTTTAAAAGGAAAAAAAACCATTGTTTATCCGTATGGTAAAGTAGAACACAAGCTGGTTGCACGAAATTAAGTACTAGTCATACTGCCGACGATCTTTTTACGGAAACTGTAAGCGGAATCAAATTTTACATCTACTCTGTGTTTGTAGCTACTCGTATTTAGCAGCTTACACAGTCTGGGTAATGGAGAGTTGGACCCAAGAACGGTTCTGCGGGTTGGTGGTCTCAGTGGTACTATCGGATGACGCGGATATCTTGAAGGCGCGCAAAAGTCAAATGAGTTCAGTAACTGAGGGCAACTAATTCTATTGTTGAGAATTTTATACAAAAACAACAAGTCTGTTAGCTCCCTACGTTTATCTAAGGATAACATTTTGAAAAATTTTAGTCTATTCGCTATCCGCTTATATATATATATATGAGAAATCTCTCTTTGCTTTACCAATTAATCGTGCCAAATGCCACAGAAACCGCTTCTGAATACGCTTAATGCGTAGATTGTGAACCGCAAAGTGTGTACCCCAGACGACAGAACAGTACTCGAGTGTGCTACGAACGGGACTATTATACAGCATTTTCTAAGTCTTAATGCTGAATCCTTTGCTATTTCGTATGACGAACCCAAGCAACCTTGAGGCTTTTTTAACGATGTTTTCGTAATGAGGTATAAATGTCAGCTTCCTGTCAAAACTAACCCCTAAATCTTTTATAACCTCGACCTTTTGAATAATATACTCATCGATTTTATAATTAAATGTATTAAGGTTTACTTTTCTGGTAAATTTGACGTGTTGACATTATTTTGGATTTAGTGTTAATCGGTTGTCTCTGCAGCAATCAATAATGTTTTTCAGATCCCTTTGTAATAATATTGAGTCTTCTATTGAATTTATATGTCTTAAAAATTTCAGGTCATCAGCATACATAAAGACATAAGTAGTCTGGGATGTTGTTAATAAAAAAGTTAAAAAGGATAGGGCAAGATGAGATCCTTGTGGCGCACCTGAGGTTACGGCACTGAAATTTTCGGGAATCAAGGAAGTGACACAAGATTACTATTTAAAATGTATTTATTGCTTTTCGAAGTATTCTCCGCGAAATTTGACACATTTTTCCATACGATGGATCACTGAAGCAACCATTCCATTCAGAAGTTGGGGTCTCCAAAATGGCCGTTTTGTAGGCGTCCACAGCTCCTTCAGGTGATGAAAATGTCTGTCCACGCAATTTATTCTTTATTTTAGGGAAAGTATAGAAATCAATAGGGCTTAGGTCGGGGCTGTACGGCGGATGGTCTAATAATTCTATGTTTTCTTGCTCTAAAAACTCTTTTGTTCTGTGTGCGGTGTGAGAACTCGCATTGTCGTGATGGAGGATGATGCGGCGGTTGCAGTTCTCTTTACGGAGTTCAGAAACGACCTGTGGCAAACAAATGCTAGCATACCATTCTGCATTAACCGTTCTTTGTCCCTCAAGAGGAATAGTCGTAACATGGCCGGTTTTGGAGACAAACGTGGCCACCATTTTTTTGCAACACTCCGTGAACGAACAATTTTTGTTGGCTTTAACTCATTTTTGAACACCCAAACTGACTGATTTTTTGTTTTGGGTTCGTATGCCTATATCCAGAATTCGTCACCTGATACGATGTTGTATATAGCATTTGAGGATCCTGCGTGGAATCTTTCGAGAGTTCTGACGCACCAAGTAACGCGAGCAGCTTTTTGCTCTTCACAGAGCAAATGCGGTATCCATCGGGAAAACAACTTTTTTACACCTAATTGTTCATGCAAGATTATTTGTATTTGACTCGTGCCAATGTCTAAAGTTGCCTGAATTTCGCGGTATGTCACATGTCGATCTTCCTCAATCAGCTTACACACAGCATCAACGTTTTCTTGGGTGACTGCAGTTCTTTGACGACCTTGACGGGGCTTATCACTGAGCTTGACACTTCCACGTTGAAATTCAGCAAACCAGCGATAAATTGTGGTTTTAGATGGGGCTTCATCACCAAATGCAGAAATCATCCAGTCAACACACTGTTTTGGTGTTAAACCACTTCGAAAGTCATAATAAATCATCTCTCTTGAATTTTCTCGAGTCAATTCCATTTTCTCAACGACTAAACAAGTTTGATAAAACCTTGTGACAAGACCGGGAATATTTTTTTAAATAAATTAATGGTATTCGATTTTTAAAACCAAGGACTTTTCAATTAAAAAGATTTTAATATGACAGGAACAGTGGAAATATTCCATTCCCGATACTTTTAGTGCAGCCTATGTATACTAATATTATCAGATCGAAAGCCGTTGACGACAACGTAAAAAGTCCGATCCTCTAGATTTGATGACAACCATGTTAAAAAAGAACCAGCAAACCCATAACATGCTAGTTTGTTGAGCAGAATATCATGAGGCACTTTGTCAAAAGCTTTGCTAAAATCTGTATACAGGACATCGATCTTCTGTTTACGGTCGAAGGCTTGGGCCAGTTTCTCGACAAAGCTTGTTAAATTTGTGCATGTTGACCTGGATTCAACAAATCCATGCTGATTGTCTTTAATGTAAAGCTTAAGGTGATTTTAAATTGAGGGACATACTACAGCCTCAAAGATCTTTGCAAAAGTAGACAAGATCGAGATAGGTCTATAATTGCTAACCAAAAATTCATCATCAGATTTGTATATCGGTACCACTTTAGCTTCTTTCCATTGCTGAGGAAATATACCAGTGCGTAATGATATATTATATATGTAACACAACGGAGTGACTAACATGGGGGCACACAACGCTATGAAAACGGTGGAATGTCATCTGGCCCAGCCCCTTTAGATCGATCCAAACGTTGTAGTTTACTCAGAACCATTTTCTCTGTAACCACCGGTACAAAAAAAGTCCGATAGTAATAATTATCAATAGCATTTAATGAGGGGTGATGATAGCGTTCACACACGTTGTTACTGCGACAGTTATTATCATTATACGCTAATAAAAAGTTCTTGGCAAACATACCACATATAGTAGGACTGTCAGATGTAGATTTCATTGTTGCAGGGTAGGACCCTTTTCCCCCACGCTTACTTTTAACGAATGTCCAGAAGAGTTTTGGGTTAGAAATAAGATCCTTTTCCAATTTCTTAATGTAAAAGTTATACCTGTCAATAGCCAAAGCTTCACAACGCTTACTTACAATTTCAAGTTCCAATTCATCGCGCGGGTTTCCGTATAACTTATAACGCCATCGAAGATTATTCTTTTCTTTTAGCCTACGAATTAAATTACGGTCAAACCATGGTGGGTAACGTCCTTTCTTTGCAAAACATTTATAAGGCACAAATTTACGTATGGCTTCCCATAAAACATTGTAGAAGACCTTAACCATTTCATTTACATCAGATAGATGTCTAAAAGTTTCAGACCAGTGCAGATTTGATAAGTGATCTTTGATTGAGTCATAGCCAGCTTTGTAGAAGTTAAATTTTTTTGTGTTAATATTAAACGGAAGCTTTTTATCTACAGTTAGAGAAAGTACTATATCTAAAGGGGGGTGCTGTGTGTCAATTTTGCTGAGGAGATTAGTTGATTTAGAAACTGTGCAAATCAGAATATCCGTTAAAACCAAATCCAAAATAACATTTTTATTGTTGGTGATGTTGTATAATTGGGAAAATTTATGTAAATTTACAAAGTCAAGCAGGTTTCTAGCCAAACCAGGTGCCACATAACTATTGCAATTATTGTGAACCATTTGCCAATTAATGTTTCTTAAATTAAAGTCACCTACAATAATCATCGAGACGTTATTTTCAGAAATTGAATTACAGTTGTCTAGAAAATGTTCAAGTACACTGCAACTAACCGGAGGGGGCAAATAAACGGCATACAATGCTATATGATGTACTGGCCTAGAAGATGCTACCTCCAAATTAAGCCACAAGTCCTCACATTTACTGTCCCAGTCCCAGGGCCGCACCGCCCCTGTGTGCGAAGTGTGCGGCGCACACAGGCGCCAAGACAATAGAGGCGCCGCCATCGAAATTATTTTTGTTACACTTACACAACAACATATTCTTTGTAGTGGAGTATCGATAAGTAAATTAGGTACAATAGGTGCAACATATGCCTTGTAAATAACAAAACATAATTATAATGCGCTTATTGTACAAGTCTTCTAAGATAATATTCACGTGTGTGGTTTAGTTTTACGCTTTGGGTTTTAGTTAACATTAGTTACGAGCTCAGCGTTAAAATCAAAAGAACCGCCGTGAGTTTGTTTGAATGAATTATGAACGTAACCCGATGCGATGCGTGCGACGCAAGCGGGGTGGGGTCTCGGGGATTCCCCGACCTTAAGGAACGAGAATGCCAAAACAATTGAACAATCAGTCAATTGAAAGTGTGTGCAAGGTGCACATTGATTTTTTATAAATATTATTATTATTTTTATTAATATTATTATTTTTTATTTTTTGCCGGGGCGGCATCAGAGGCAGCTGAACTGAGTAAGTGGCGCAAATATGAGTCTCTGAGAGATGACTACATATTTGTGCCATTTGCTGTAGAGACTATCGGTCCGTGGGGTCCACGTGCGGTGAAGTTCCTAAAGGAACTCCATCCGCGGCTGGTCGTTGCTGCTGGTGATAAGAGGGCTGGTTCTTTCCTCGCTCAAAGGCTAAGTATAGCCATTCAGCGGGGAAACGCAGCCAGCGTTCTTGGCACGATACCGCGGGGATTCGGACTATATGATAATTAAGTTTCTAGTTTTAGTTTTTTTTTTATTTTTATTATCATAGTTTTTAATATTGTAGATAAAATTTAAGTATTATATATTTTTTATAATAAGATTAAATTCTAGCTCTAAAAGCAATATATAGTTTGTGTGTTAGTGATTATTTTAACGTGTTTTCACGATGAGTGATAGTACTCAAGATAAAAAAGAAATTATTTGGTTACCAGAATTTAATAAGGAAAAGAAAACAAGAAGAAGAACGTGATAAAATATAACTAAAATAAGTAAATATTTTACGGCTCTACCATTCACTTCCAAAGAATCATTAGAGACAGAAACCAGTCATTTTATCGATGACGATGTTATAAAATCTGTTTAAAAAAACACTTCAGGTACGTGCTTTTTATGTTATTTTCTATACTTACAAATAAATATAACTTTATTCGGTTTGTAATGTCAAAATTAAAAACATCATTTTCTTTTTTAATTTCATTACAAGCCCTGCTCAGCTTGGGACTAGACGGCGGAGTTTGATTGTCGAGAAATATTCATTTATTTATTTATTTTATCATACATAATTATTCATAGATAGATAAATCAGTTTATTCAGACAGGTAGATAGGTACTCAAATGTCTTTGTTTGTCTGTCTTTGATTTAAGATGATGCCGCCGAAGTTACGTCCGTGCCTCTGCCTGATACACCATTGTCACAGCCTAGACAATTATCGTCACCAATACCAATTTTTTCCAAAGATGACCCTGGACTCTGGCCAAAAGTTTTCAATGCTACTTTGATTCAGTATTTAATAGAATATCCGATTAAACAAATTAAACAGTATAATTTTCTGCGTGACACTTCGGGGCGAAAATTTTCCGAGTATTATTATGAAAAGCATTTAGGAAACGGTGAGAAGTATCACAGAGAGTGGCTGCTGTATTCAGTGTCCAAAAATGCCGTTTATTGCTTCTGTTGCAAGCTATTTGAATCAAAATATAACAATAAACTATGCGAGGGAATTAGTGATTGGCAACATCTAGCTATGTATTGCAGCAGAGAGCATGAGAAAAGTTCTGCTCATTTCAATAATTATAAAAAATGGACAGATTTATGTCACGCTCTTAAAAATAAAAACACTAATATTCAATAAAAACTTTTAGAGGTTGAAAAGCAGCGCCGGTACGATGTAATCAAAAGAATAATATATGTGGTCCAATTTCTAAGTACACAAAATATGGCTTTTCGTCGCCAAAACAAAAATTATACGACCGTAACAATGGTAATTTTATAAAATGTATTGAACTGATTAGGAAAATTGACTGAAAATATACGTAAGTAAACAACTTAGATATTAATATATAATATATATTAATATCTAAGTTGTTTACTTTTATATATATTAGACATAAAATCATAAATAAAGTATGTAAAAATTAAATTCGTGTTTTACTTTTCGCAGTAATTGGCAAGCGTCAGCGAACTGGTTTTACCTATTTAGGAAAATATTATCTAAGTATATAAAACTGGAGAACATTTATTCGGTCAAAATTAACAAATAATAAAAAAAAACATAAGTTGAAAAATGAAGATTCGTGAAAAAAGAGGCGCTTCATAGGTTTCGCACATAGGCACTGTGGGGGGTCGGCGCGGCCCTGCCCAGTCCCAGGACAACATTCTTTTCGCTTTTAGTTTATTATTTACGGCAATAATTGTGCACTAACATCATCTCCATAATTACAAGATGAGTGGTGAAATTTAATTAAAGCCGTAATTAATAAAGATTTAAAAGCATTTATGAATTTGTGGCAAGTTGGATTATTGTCCCTAAAATTATATGATCTTATTTAACCAAAAAAAAAAAATTTAGAAAAACTATATAGATTACATGGGAATGTATATAGCAGGGTCTCATAATCTTTATATTTTTCTTGGACAAAAACTGCCACAAATTCATAAATCTTTTTATGGTAATTATCCAATTCTTTATACTGGGCACTGTACATACATGAACATTTTCGTTAATAAATTTTAAATTTTCTAGTTTTAACAAAGATTGCTGCCTGAATGCATGGTGTCTACATTTTTCTGTATCAGCAATTCTTAATTCTTTCTCTCTTCTTTTTTACTTATCACCGCACTTCCATTCACACTGTCAAAAGAGTCATCCATGAAAGATACTATTTCTGCAGTATTTTTCAGTATTTTGCTCACTGGCCACCCATCCGATTAATAAGCTGTAATAAATATTTGAAATATTATAAAATTTGAAAATAACTAAGTACTCTGTACAATATATTTAAGTTACAGAAGAAGTTTGTGTTTTTTATAGAATTAAACATGACAGGCAAGAACCCATTTCTTAAGATTTCCATTTTTTTAAGAAGAAGTAAGTAAATTCTGTGGCCCACAGACACCAACATTAATCCTCGATTATGTATTAAAATGCAAATGCATTGTCACCCTTGAAGACAAAATAATGCCTTGTTACTAGGGTCTTTGTTTCTCACCACTCACCATATAAAATACTACAGTTTTATGGTATAAATCTAATAAAATAATTAATATAATAACTAAAGTATAAATTAAGGCTCCTGCCACGGTTTTACTAAATATACGAACATAATTCTTAACCTGTAAATACTTAATCCAAAAGAATTTTTCCAAAAGATTACGAATAAGTTTATTAAGAACATGTCCAAATATTAAATTACATGTAATTGAAATAAAATGACAATTATTTTATACCTTCATTTTTTATTATCAGGAATAACATATACGTCGTTAAGTTTGTGTAATAACCGTGTTTCTGCATGTTCACAGTCTGTCTTATACGCATAAACGATATATGTCCATGTAGAAATATTTTCTTGGTATTGTATATTTTATGGTTAAAAATTGTTTCGCATTCCTTTGATTAAATGTGGTGGATCAAATATGACTAACATATTATAACCACTTATCTAAAAATATAAAACATATTAATAATAAAGCAATTCTATTAAGAGTAAACACGAACGGTGAAGTTTTAATTAATTGTACTTGGATTTTTGTATTCTCTTATTTGAAATGCTCTAGTTTCCTCTTGCAGTAGTTAAAGAGCAGATTTGAAAGTAGCCCCTTGATCCATATATAATACACCCTTGATCTGAGACTAATGTTATCCTATCTCACCAACAGCTGCAACAATTTCTTTTAAAGTATTTTTCACTTCAATAGTAGATGTTGATCCTTTACTAAAGTAAAAGGCAATATGTTGCTACAAGTAAATGCAAAGAAAATGCAAAGAGAGGGCGGAAATAAATCAACGCCACCAAACGGAAATTTATCAGAAATAATATCACTCAGTGACACAATGATTACGGACAAAATAAACAATATGGCTGCCACCTGCCACGCGTAGAGAGCTCCCTCTACGCTGCCACTGGCTGCCACGTCTTGCATTGAAGCCATGGAGTATAGAGTAGATCTACTCTATACTCCATGATTGGAGCTTAAAATCGTAGATAGAGTATGTCTATGCTTAAAATGGATATCGAGGGGCGAGGGGGATGTTAGCTGTCATATATCATTTTGCTATGACGTTTCCTATGTCCAATATTTTTTCTATGAAGATTACTGCCCGTGTCTATAAGTGTGTAAAAGTTGAAGAGTCACTTCTTAGAGGAAAAAATAAAAGGTTACTAACATAAAATAAATTGCCACACACAGCCTTGTAGAAAAAAAGTTTCACGTCTTTCTAAACAGCAATGCTAACTGTTGTAGCTGTTAACTTAAATAAATTAAAATTTGTCACTTCTGCCGAAGTCAATTCTGTCAACTACTTTGTCGACAGAAGTGACCACGGGCAGTAATCTTCATAGAGAAAATACTGGACATGGGAAACGTCATAGCAAGATGATATGTGACAGCTATCACCCCCCTCGCCTCTCGGCATCACTTCTAAGCATGGAGTATAGAGTAGACTACTCTATACTCCATGCTTCTAAGCTCATTTGCAAGCTGTCGCAGCCATATTTTGTCATTGTCAATTGTCATTTGTCACAGCACCACAAACAATATAGAAACACTACGCGTTCAGACGGACGTCTCTGGTACATTTAGTTTGGACCGTACAGCAAATTAGAACATGACATTTCGTTTTTTTTAATATGAATTGGATATAGGCAAGGGAATAATTTTATTTCAGCCTAGTATAATTATATGTATATATATTTATTTATATATAGGTATATACCTATATAATATTTTTATATTTATAATTTTAATTACTATTTTTATTATTATTATTTTATTATGAAGGAGGATT